GGGGCCCTCTGGCGTTCCAAGCCAGTTCTTAACCATTGCGCCACTCGGCCGGCCCTTGGGGCATTTTTTAAAATGCCATTTTTATATTTTGTTTCTCAGTTTTGTAGAGAGTGGTTTCTTTGTGGCCTGAATGCTCTGATGTATCTAAGAAAGGATGTTTATTTCAAGTTTTTGTTTGTTTTTGTTTTTTGCTTTTTTCTGAGATTGGGAATGATGGCTTTCAAGTCCCTTAAATACCAGAATAGAAACTGGAATTCTCTGCCCCAGTTGTTGGTGATTGACAGCTGACAACTTTACACTCTCATGTCTCCTCATTCCCTTTTGACCTACATCAATACAAAGTGATAAGAGCACCGTGGTGCTCCTTCCATTGCAGCAGCAAGAGATTCAGTCCTGTTAAACTCTTGTTCTTGTGTGTGAGCCCTCACCCTAACCAACCCCTAACCTCAATTTAAAAAAACAGTCCCTGTATCTTTCTTTGCTCTCTCTCAAGCCATTTCATGACTGCTGGAGAGGCTTGCCTTGCTTTCTCCACAGACCTCAATTATGAATTAATAAACCCTTACTACACTCTTAACCGTGTGTGGTGTCCTCAGCTAAGGGGTCTGTATCCTCAGGACTTGAAGTATCATGCTCCATTACTCCACAGGGGAGCTTGGGAATTAGAGAGTTGGGAATGCAGCCTCAAGGGGGCTGGTGGGGAAACAATTTCTCCTGCAATTTGAAGGTGGAGGTTTTATGGTGTTTTGGCAGAAAGCACTGCTGAGTTCTTCATGTGTATTGTACTCAAGGGCAAATTTACCATCAAACTATTGTGATTTTCATGAATGAAATTACAGTTGGAAACTCCCAGCCTGTCCCTCAAGGTCAGTGAGATGCAGGGAAGTGTCCTGTTTCTGCCATAAAGAGCTCTTCTGGCATATTTGTTGCTGCGTGTGCCTATGTGTACTAAAATTTGGCTCTAAGCACCCCTGAGACACATGAGTATGGGGATTTTGTAGACTGTTTTCATATTGTCTGAAGTCTATGTTGCAATTAACTTTCTATTTCTAGCCCATCAAATCATACAGAGAGGAAGGAAAAACAGTCTGTGATAAATATTAAACAAGTTAAAAGCAATAGTTTTCAAAAAGAATATTTTCATTCCACCAGCTGCATCTGACTACTTCTGAAGGCCTGGAGTACTTTAGGAACAATACATCCAGCAGAACCTTATTAAAAGTTGGATTTCCACAGCTTTTCTGGACTCGTGTGTGGTGATGGGAATGGGGGGGAAAAACTTTTAGTTCTTTACTCTGTTTTTTATTGATTAAACATTAGATAGATTTGACACTCTGCGTCATGGAAGACTGTTTATGGTGGGTAATAACGAAGGAGATTAAAGTTTTTCTCACTACATATTGATGATCTGAAGTGATAGTTGTTTCATTTGTGTAGCATGTCTGTCATTTCCCAACATGCTGTGGACCCTGCCATTAAAGAGAAATAAGATGTAATGTGATCACAGTAAAAGTATGTAAATCATTTCTGTATGTTCATGATGCTGTTAAATTTTTAGGGAAGTAAGTGTGGACAGGGATTAAGTTTATGAGGATCAGTCATAAAATAAATATTTGGAGATGACAGAATTATGACTTCCATATAAATGCAGTATAGATGTCCGGTGCTGTCAGTCTCACATCCTTCTGTGCCCATATTAGGACTCAGTGGCCATTGAGGATGTGGCTGTGACCTTCACCCTGGAGGAGTGGGCCTTACTGGATCCTTCACAGAAGAAACTCTACAGAGATGTGATGCGGGAAACCTTCAGGAACCTGGCCGCAGTAGGTAAGGATGACAAGTTACCGCCACTTCGTCAATTAGAGAACAAGTGTTTCTTGCTTATCGACATTTTTCCAAGATTTGGATTGTGGAAAGGTAGGCCATTGGAAAATAAACTAAGCATGATTACAGAACCTAATAATGGACATAAAATCTCATAAATTTTTCTGTAATTTCTAATATTTTGGAATATTTTTTGGGGTTTGCATTTTAGGGAAAAAATGGGAAGGTCATCATATTGAAGATTTGTACAAAAACCAGGGGAGAAAACTAAGGTAAGTGATATTCACAAGAGAAAGTAGTGATCTGAGAATCCTATTATATTATGAAATTTAAAAAGAAATTTAAAAAACAAATACCCCTTCTTCAAATTTAGTTATTAGAAAATTTTCACCAAAAATACTTTCTTATGTGTGGCATAAAATGTTCAGTGTTTGCAAAATAACTCACTTCAAAATAGTATTATTAAATTTTATATATGAATAATACTGTTTTGGTAATATTTAGTGAAGTCCTCTTATAGACGATGTCTTATATTCAACTTCAATCAATTCAGGCAAAACTGAAGATCTACACTTTTAATATAAATCTTAAAAATGTTCAAATGCCCTACTAAGAAATAAAAATTTGTTAATAAAGAAGTTAATACTGTACTTCTCATTTTTTACAGAAGTCATATGGTAGAGAGACTGTGTGAAAGTAAAGAAGGTAGTGAATGTGGAGAACACTTTAGCCTTATTCCAAATATGAATCTGAACAAGAAAACCACTGGAGCAAAACCACATGAGTGCAGTACATGTGGAAAAGTCTTTATGCATCATTCATTCCTTAATAGGCATCTCAGATGTCACACTGAACATAAACCATATGAGTATCAGAAATATGGAGAGAAGCCATATAAATTGAAGAAGTGTGATAAAGCTTATAATTATCGTCAATTTTTTGATAAACAGGAAAAAAATAATGGAGAGAAAAACTATAAATGTAAGGAATGTGGGAAAACGTTTTGTGTTCGTACATCCCTTCAAATACATAAAAGGATTCACACAGGAGAAAAACCCTACAAATGTGAGGAATGTGGGAAAGCCTTCATGTGGCATACAGCATTTCAAAGACACATGATAATGCATACTAGAGATTCTCCTTATAAATGTAAGGAATGTGGGAAAGCCTTTAATTGTTCCACTTCATTGCAAATACATGAAAGAACTCACACTGGCGAGAAACCCTATCAATGTAAACAGTGTGGAAAAGTCTTTAGATATCAAAATACTTTTCAAATACACAAAAGGACTCACACAGGTGAGAAACCATATGATTGTAAGCAATGTGGTAAAGCATTCAGTTGTCCCAGTTCTCGTCGAAAACATCAAAGAACTCACACTGGAGAGAAACCTTATGAATGTAAGGAATGTGGAAAATCCTTTGGTGAACTCTCAGGCCTTCGAGTACACATGATCACTCACACTGGAGAAGGACCTTATAAGTGTAAAGAATGTGAGAAAGCGTTCCTTTCTCCCAGTTCATTTCGGATACATGAAAGGATTCACACTGGAGAGAAACCTTATGAATGTAAAGAATGTGGTAAAGCCTTCAGTTATTACTCTTCTTTTCAATCACATGAAAGAATTCATACTGGAGAGAAACCCTATGAATGCAAGGAATGTGGGAAAGCCTTCTCTCGTCATCAAACCTTAAAAATACACATGAGAGTGCACACTGGAGAAAAACCCTATAAATGTAAAGAATGTGAGAAAGCTTACAGGTGTTACCTTTCCTTCCAAATACATAAAAGAAGTCATACTGAAGAGAAACCCTATGAATGCAAACAATGTGGTAAAGCCTACAAACATTACAGTTCCTTAGAAGCACACAAAAGAATTCATACTGGAGAGAAACCCTATGAATGCAAGGACTGTGGGAAAGCCTTCTTCCACAACCAAACCTTAAAAATACACATGAGGCTGCATACTGGAGAGAAGCCCTATGAATGTAAACAATGTGGGAAAGCCTTCAGGTATTACTTTCCTTTCCAAAAACATGAAAGAAGTCATTTTGTAGAGAAATCTTATGAATGTAAGCAATGCGGTAAAGCCTATAGAGATTACAGTTCCTTAAGAACGCACAAAAGAACTCATACTGTAGAGAAGCCCTATGAATGTAAACAATGTGGTAAAGCCTTCACATATTCCTTTTCCTTCCAGAGACATGAAAGAAGTCATACTGAAGGGAAACCTCATGAATGCAAGGAATGTGGGAAAGCCTTCTCTCGTCACTATACCTTAAAAATACACATGAGACTACACACTGGAGAGAAGCCCTATGAATGCAAACAATGTGGTAAAGCCTTTAGATATTCCTCTTCCTTCAGAATTCATGAAAGAAGTCATGAGAGAAATCCTGTGAATGTAAGCAGAATGTAAGCTCTACAGAGCTTACAGTTCCTTAGAAACACAAAAGAATTCATATATGAGAGAAGCCCTATGAATGTAAGAAAGTTGGAAAAGCCTCAGATGTTATCAAAGTTTTTGATGACATGAAAGAAGTCACACAGGAGAAAAACCCTATAAATGTAAATAATGTGGTAAAGCCTACAGATATTAGAGTTCCTTACGAACACACAAAAGGACTCACAGGATAGAAATACTCTAAATTTAAGCAATGTGGTAGAGCTTTCATTTCTCCTATAAATTCACTTCTAAATACATGAACTCACACTAAAGAGAAATTCTGAGTGTAAATGTGGTGAAGTCTTCATTTGTCACACAGCCATTTGAAGATATGTGAGAGTGCACATTTGAGAGACATCATATAAACGTAAAGAATGTGGAAAGACTAATCATCTCAGTGTTTTCCAAAGGCATGAAAGGACTCACTGGGTAAAAATTCTTAAATGTAAGCTGCGTGGGAAGCATTTTCATTGGTCCACATCCTTACATGTGGAGACTCCCACCAAACAGAAATAAAAAAATATAACATGAGAAATTGATGGAAATTAATCCATGTATAATGTTTTAGAAAACTTTCAACATGAAAGAGTTATTAATAATAAGTTGTAAATTTATTGTGTTTTTCAAACCTCTCAGTGTGAATCACTGAAATATGGGTTTCTAGTAATTGTTTTCAGAAATGGATGTTGAGGTGAGATAATTTTGTGAGTCATCTTCAATAATAGTATGTAAAGTTAATTAGTAGTGCTTTTGTCTTAAATCAGTTAATATTTTATTTTGAAGCCTGTTAGATTGATGGGTGAGTTGAAGTGTATTTCTAATATGTAATAGGTGTAATTTTTTATGTTTTATTTGTTTTGTGGTAAGAGGCCATTGAATTTGACAAAGTGGTATTTTGGGGGGACTTTCCCACTAGCCTGTGGCAGTTCCTGTAAATCCTCAGTTCGTCATATATAGTCTACCTTTCTTACTGACAAAATTTATTTTTTGGATGACAAGTATAAGAGCCTTTTTCCATTTTCCATGCCTATAAACTGTTGGAATAATTGTTTTGTATGGAAGTTTATGAAAGAATGTAGTTTCATGTAAACTATTATTTTCATATTTGGATTTGTACTTTTTGCCCTCTTTTCTGACTATTTGCTGAATAGACTTTGATTTAAGAAGAGAAACTTGTGATAGGACAAAAATCTAGATCTGGAGATACTCCCCTGAGGGCAGTGTTACTAACTAGGTTTTCCAGAGTTTATCCCTGCTATGGTTCCACCTTAGAATTCACCAGTAACCTCACTTGCATGAGGTTTTGGAGCCACGATTCAGGAAGAGAGAGAGATACATAGGAATTTCAAAGATACCATCTTTAGCCCATTTTCTGGATTTTTTTGTACTTCCAAATAACAGTATCCTCAAAACGGTTGCCAACTGTTTCATATCCATTTTCTAAGAGGCATAGATTTCCATTGATACTTTCAGAAGATCCACATCAAAGATCCATCAGAGTTTGGATTTTTCTGTAAGCCTTCTTGTGTCCATCAGGAAACTGATTCAGAGTTTTGTGCTTGGGAATATTGTCTGATTCCCCTCCTCTCTAGATGATAGCTGTATAACATCTGTAATTTGTATAGGACACACCTTAAGCTCTTAACAGTGCTACTGAGTAGGGTTTTTTGATTCACCATGACATCTACAATGGTGCCATCGAAAAGAACAATATGGGAGCTTGTTTCTCTACAGCATTGTACACTGGCTGCCTTGACCCAGTCCTTCCATGTGAGAATAAGCACCTTCCTCCTACATGGAAGACCCTGGGTGTTTGTTACTTGGAGCTGAATATATTCTTTCAATATGTTTTAAATTACATTTGATGATACATGACTAGAAGTATGTGTAGTTTTTTCTCAAAGGAATGCTTCTCGTGAGGTTCCATTCCAGAAATATTTTATTACTGTATTCTAAGTTGTCAAATGCTAACAAATATTACAGACACGCACCACTTAATAATGGGGATACGTCCTGAGAAGAGCGTTGTTAGGTGGTTCCATCATTGTGCAAACATCATAGAGTGGTTACACAAACCTAGATGGTATAGCCTACTACACACATAAATCCATATGGTATATAGCCTATTGCTCATAGGCTACAAGTCTGTGTACATCATGTTACTGTATTGAATACTGGAGGCAATTGTAACACAATGGAACCTATTTATAAACATATCTAAACATGGAAAAAGCATACTAAAAATATGATATAAAGAATAAAAAGTGGTACACCTGTAGAGAGCACTTACCATGAATGGAGCTTGCAGGACTGGAAGTTGCTCTAGGTGAGTCAGTGAGTGAGTGGTGAGTGACTGTGAAGGCCTAGGACATACTGTACACTGTTCTAGACTATAAACACTGGACACTTAGGCTCCACAAAATTTATTTAAAATATTTTTCTTCAATAATTTAACCCTAGTTTACTGTAACTTCTACTTTATAAACTTAAATTTTTAAACTTTCAACTTTTGTAATAAACCTTAGTTTAAAATAGAAACACATTATACAGCTATACAAAAATATTTTCTTTATATTTTCATTCTGTAAGCTGTTTATTAAAAACTAAGACACACACACATTAGCCTAGGCCTACACAAGGTCAAGATCATCAATATCACTGTCTTTCACATCCACGTCCTGTCCCACTGAAAGGTCTTAAGGGGCAATGACACTCATAGAGCTGTCATCGCCTATGATAATACCTTCTGGATCACCTCCTGGAGGACCTGCCTGATGCTCTTTTTGAGGAAGTGCCACTTTTTTTCAGAAATATGTCCATGGTGGTTGCTTGGTTTGTTTTTTCATCATAGATATGCTTGTAAACAGATACTGCACCATGAGCATTTCTCTCTTTTTATTTTTACTTTATTTAAAAATTAGTTTCAGGTGTACAAAACAACATACTAGTTAGAATTTAGACCTCTCACGAAGTGGTAAACCACCTCCCACAATCTACTATCCCTCTGACATCATATATGGCTATTACAGTTCCATCAATTCTATTCCCTATGCTGTACTCCACATCCCATGACAATATATATATATATATATATATATATAAAATTATAGTTGACATTCAATATTCTTCCTCTTCTGGCATACAGTGGTCTCCCTAATAAGACAAGTGCCCATCTGACACCATATAAAATCTTTACAACATTATCGATTATATTTCCCAAACTGTCTTTCGTATCCCCCTGGCAATCCTGTGGTTACCAATTTATGTTGTCTAATCCCCTGACCTTCTCCCTCCTCCCCACCCCACTCCCATCGGACAACCATCAGTTTTTTCTCTATATCTCTGAGACTGTTTCTGTTTACTTTGCTCATTTATTCTGTTCTTTAGATTCCACATATAAGTGAGATCATATGGTATTTGTTTTTCTCTGTCTCACTTAGCATTTCTGTTTATTAATGAAAATCTTTTAGTGTTAGGGTTTATATTTTCAAACTTTAAGGAGCATGTTGAGGTCTGCAAAAGTTTCTGATTTTTCTTGGGGATTGTTTGTCTTCAGTTTTCTCTTGCCTCTTTTCATCTATGTGTTCCTATTCTAATTACAACAATCCCTCGTAGTCAGTTCCTCAGGAACCCCCTCTAGGAGCCCCTCTGTGTCACCCCTATTCACACCCATGTTAACGTTATTTGCAATCTCAGCCACAGCCTTGTGGATTTTTGCAGCTTCCTCATCATTAGCAAATCCTTTGAAGTCATGCACAAACCTCTTGAGTGTCTTCTTGCAGATGCCATCCATACACTCGTTGGTGACATCACCCTCAAGCCCATGCAAGGCTCTTGATGCAGTCATGGGTGTGGTAATCCTTCCAGAATTGTATCAGTGTCTTCTCAGTGTCTTCCTTAGTTGCAGCAATGGCATGGGCAAAGGTCCTCAGGTAGTAGTCCTTCAAAGCTTCTATAACTTCTTAATCCATTGTTTGGATCATAGAGATGGTATTTGGAGGGAGAAACACCACTTTGATGTTGGGAAGAAGATTACCATTAAAAGGAATGTGTCCAGAAGCATAATCAACAATAAGCAAATTCTTGAAAGGTATGTTCTTCTCCATACAGAACTTCTCCATTTTGCTGCCATAGTAATTCAGGAGGGCATCTTGGGAGAGGAGCTGGGTCATCCATGACTTATTCCTGGTATATAGGGGTGCTGTGTGCCTATTGATATGCTTAAAGACCCTGGGCTTCTCACTGCCAGCTCACAAAGGGTTTCAATTTGTAGTCTGCAACATTGCCCCAAGCTAGACTGTTATCCTGTCCTTAAAAGCCTTGAAACCCGGCATTGACTTGGCCTCCTTAGGGATGGAAGTCCTTACAGGCATCCGTTACCAGAATAGGGAGGTTTCATCCATACTGAATATTTGTTCTGGCAAGTAATTTTACTCCACAATCAGCTTATCAAGAGTTTCCAAAAAATTCTTCAGCTGCCTTAGCATCAGCACTCACAGACTCACCACTCACTTTCACTTCATGTAATGAATAATTCTTGAATAAGTTTAACATTGCAAATAAACTGTGCTCTGGCTATTATCGTCACAGTGCAGAGAGGGTTAATGCTTCTGTTTCTGGTCTTCAGGTTATTAGAAGTTCCTCCAGGTCTGATACATGCCCTTCTCAAATTTTTTTACTCGCTGCCTTCAATGAAAAGACCAAAGTTGGAGGCACCACACTTCCTAATCTCAAAACTTACTACAAAGCTACCATAATTCAAGCTATGGTACTGGCAAATAGACCAATGGAACAAAACCTAGAGCCCAGAAACAAACGCTCACATACATGGTCAAGTGATTTTCAAGAATGGGGAAAGTAAAAAACTGAAGATAAGGTTGGAGTATTTCCTTCCATGCAGGTAGAGGCAAAGGCAGAGTCCCTGAGGGCACCATTCCCCGGGGTGATCAGCTATGGGTGGCAGGGCTAATTTGGACTAACGTGGCCATGGAAGAACAGTGTTTTGTTCTTTCTGGGGTAGACACCCTGGGTACAGATTTGCCTTCCCTGCACGCAGTGCTTCTGTGAAAACTGCCCTGCATGGACTCACAGGTATATTTATGCACTGTCATGGTGTTCCCCGAAGCATTGCTCCTGATGAAGGAACTCACTGACAGGACATGAAATGTGACAATGAGCAAACACTCAGGGGATTCAGTGCTCGTTCCATATCCCACCATCCTGATGCAGCTGGCCTGACAGCAGTAGAAGGGGCTTTGGAAGACAGTGTCCACAAAATGGTAACACTGTGCAGGACGGGACCCATGCTCTCCAGGAGGCTCTGTATGCTCTAAGTCAGTGTCCATTATATGACACTGATTTCCCCATAGCCAGGGTTCACGGGTCCAGGAATGGAGGGTGGAAGTGGGAGTGACACCACTTGTATCACCACTGTTACCCCTAGTGGTCCACCAGCAGAACTGTGGCTGCTCGTTCGTGGGACTTTATGCTCTGCTGGTCCAGAGTTCT